AGAGAGAGAGAGAGCGAGCGAGCGCGCGCGCGAGCCGGGCGATGGTGGCGCACGCCTTTAATCCCAGCACTCGGGAGGCAGAGGCAGGAGGATCTCTGTGAGTTCAAGACTAGCCTGGTCTACAAAGTGAGTTCCAGGACAGGCTTCAAAGCTACACAGAGGGACCCTGTCTCAAAACAAACAAACAAACAAATCTCCTGTGTAGTTCATTCAATAAGGAGAATTTATTAAGACTAAAAATCAGTTCAAAAATTTTGAGAAAAGCTAAATATTAGCTACACTCATAGAACACCTAGCAACTTACTAGTTAACAGTACAGGTTGAACACACCTAACCTCAAGTCCAAAATGCTCCAAAATCCAAACCTTTTTGAGTGGCATGACCCAGGTGGGTAACTACACAACTGGCCTCTGTGAACAGGTCAGTCAAATCTCAGGCACACTAAAACACTGAACAGACTTTCCCTCAAGCTGTGTGTACATGGCCAGTGCATATGAAACGTAAAGGAATTTTATAGCTCTATTTGGGTTCCACCCCCAAGCATGCGCGCTCTACACACACGCACGCACACACGCACGCACGCACGCACAAGCACACGCGCACACATATGCCCCCAGGCGACAGCTGAGGAAAAGGCTTCAGCACATGGTGTAAGTGATGCGAGACTGTAAACCACTGGAAGAGAACACCACTTCCAAACAACAAAAACTCAATCAGGCCCACTGACCCACTGACAGATGACTGTCAGAAACTAAGTCAAGATTTAAAAAATCTTCTCATGTTAAAAAGCTTAGCCTTGTCGGGAGATGGATCAGGTTTGTGTACTTTAGAAAAGTAACCCCAGCCATCCCTTTTCTACCCTGGGTGTCACGAGAAAGCTCCCATCACGGGATGAACACTTATCTTGTGGTCAGGAGCCACTAGAACGCGTCTGAACCTGGGTGATTCCAAGGAAGTAGGTAGTCAATCCAGAAGTTAGCAACTATGCTAGATATGAAAAGTTTAACCACCTCACACAGACACTGACTTCAGATAGAGAATCTAGTACAAAAGCATGAATTACAGACTCTATTAAGTGATTAAAGTCTCATCAAATCCACACCTGGAGAAAACGTGATGGCATTCTTAAAAAACAACAAAAATACAGCACTCCACATTTGAGTCTCATCAGCTTTCTAGAAGCAAGCATCGCCCTCTTGAGAACAGAGAGCTAAGGCCGTGCACAATGGCACACCCCTCCGTCCAGCTACTCAGGCTGGGCTGGAGTGTGAGGGCAGACTCGTCAAAGCGGCAGCAAGGCCCTCTGCAAGACGACAGCAACCTCCACGGGAACCAAGCAGAGAGAAAACAGCGCCGCCCTTCCTTACCTACAAGTGACATTGTTTGTACATGAGTCAAGCTTAATTTTACTCTAAAAAGGTAAACCAAACACAGAACACAGACATGAGAAACAGCTGTGACCATCTGCAGAGGAAGGGATGTGTCAGTAACAACCGCTGTTGTGGGATTCTGTCAAGGTCTTAGGAGGTGAAACCAATGTCCTGCCCTGGGCTGGGGACGCAGCTCAGTGCTACAGATCTGCTCTAGCATGTGTGAAGCCCTGGTCTCGGTGTCCAGCACTACAAAAGCCAAAGCCAAACCAACCAGAGAGCACCTGTTCCTTAGGATGTGAGAAACTCATAACCTGTTACTGAGGGGAAGAGCTCCATCAACATAACCCACATCTCTGACTGTCTTAGTCCTTGACTGCAGCTTTCAAGGACACCCCTCTTTCTATAAAACCATACCAAATGTGTGAACTCAGCTGTGACTATCCAGACGGAGGTGTCATGAAGGAGCGCGCTCTCACTGCTGCTCTGAGAGACAGAGGGTGGTGTGCAGAGGAAGTCTGGGGACTTACTGGATGAGGGAAGCAGCACTAGGCTTCTGTTTAGCAGGACAGAGCTGACAGTGGAACAGTGCAGGTCACTACGTCAGGGAGCCCCATCCACACACTCAAGTGTCTTCAATACAGGCCTGAAGGTTACCCAGGACATCTGACAGGATGGAAACCAGACACTGTCCAATGGAGTGGGCTGGTCGGTTTTTCTGAGAAGGGCCAGATGGTAAAGACTCCATGTTTTGTGGTGGTGCGTTTTTTAACCTCGGAAAATGCAAAAGCTACTCTTAGTATACTGGCCGCACAAAAGCAAGTAAGCAGGCAGACACCAGGCCCAGATCGAGTCAGGGAAGAGCAGAGAGAGTTCTCGGTTGTTAACCCTCAACACGACACATCAAACGGGAGCTAGAGGCTGGGAGGAGTTCCGGAGATCAACCCTGCAAGTGAAAGCTGGGAACGTGACTCGCTTCCTCCACGAAGCCCAATGCACTTGGCCGCCCCTTCGGCTTCCATTTCTGGAGCGCCCCCTCAACCTGAGGGCTCGACTGACAATAACGAACACTAGTGCCCAATAGTGTGTTTTACAGCCTTGCACTCTTTAATCGTGGGCAAGAAGTTCACACTAGCGGCAGTTGGGCGTGCGCATGTGTACAACCCCAGCACTGGAGAGGCAGCAGCCGCGGCAGGAAGAAAGGGAAGATGGGAGCAGACGGAAAACTCATCCCAAAGTCAGCCACCAAAAAGAAACTCAAGCCTAAGTAAGAATCACGAGAAACTGGTCATTGATGTGACTCCCCCCATTCCAGGATTATTACTGGCATAACCGAAGGGTTTCCAACGTCCAGGTAAAATCCTGGGTTTTCTCGTGATGAGAACTCTTTTGTAGTTCTGTAAGCACTCTGGTGACACAAAGGCACAACGTGAGCTGAGAAGGCAACAGACGACTCCAGAGAAAAGGCTAGACCCTCACTCAGTCCCCGCACCAGGGCACAGAACCCTCACTCAGTCCCCGCACGAGGACACAGAACCCTCACTCAGTCCCTGCACCAGGACACAGAGGCCTCACTCAGTCCCTGCACGAGGACACAGAACCCTCACTCAGTCCCCGCACGAGGACACAGAACCCTCACTCAGTCCCTGCACCAGGACACAGAACCCTCACTCAGTCCCCGCACGGGGACACAGAGGCCTCACTCAGTCCCTGCACCGGGACACAGAACCCTCACTCAGTCCCTGCACCGGGACACAGAGGCCTCACTCAGTCCCCGCACCGGGACACAGAACCCTCACTCAGTCCCTGCACCGGGACACAGAACCCTCACTCAGTCCCCACACGAGGACACAGAACCCTCACTCAGTCCCTGCACCGGGACACAGAGGCCTCACCCAGTCCCTGCACCAGGACACAGGCCTCACTCAGTCCCTGCACCAGGACACAGAACCCTCAC